GACCAGCTTCCTCCTGCATGCCCAACTCTGGGGATGGAGCCTGCAACCTGGGCCTGTGCCCTGACCGAGAACGGAACCGTGACCTGGTTCCTAGGCTGACGCTCAAGCACAGAGCCCCGCCACCGGGCCTGGGTGACTTTTCCGTGGAGGAAACTCCTAGAGCTGGAAAATCCTTACAGGGAGCAGACCTTCTCCCCCGCATTCAGAGCAGGAGGGAGTGGTCTGGAGGGGGGTTCTCAAAGTGGGGTTCCCCTGGGGACCTGCTTAACGACAAATTCTCAGGCCTCTGACCCCTTCCCACCTTCCCTCCTACCCCAGGAGGCTGGCCGTGACGGATGGCGTCCAGGCGCCCTGCCTTTCGGCACTCACCCCTCACGGGGCCCTCGCTGCCCATGGCCCGGGCTGTAGATGAGGAAGCTCACAGGTCACTGTGTCCGTCACGGGGCCTGGGGGACGTGTTACCACGTGTCTCTCGCCTGCAACCCCCGTCGCACGCACCTCGCCAGCGCCGGTCGTGAGGTGAGGTCAGAGCCATGTCTGAGAGAAGCTGGAGGTCCCCGACCCCGTCAGCGGCAGCCGACGTTGGAACAGCCATTCTGAGGGACCGGTCAGGCCAGAGGCCGCCCCTTGTGGGCAGGGGCCGCGGGAAAGGGCCGGGCAGACAGCGCGCTCCGGGGAAGTCAGATGCCAGGCATCAGAGCTGGCTGGAGTCGGGAGCCAGGCCGGGAGCCTCGGGCCCTGGGGTCAGGGACGGGCCAGGGGCACACGGACACACTCCTTCCAGAGCCGCCCTCCCCGGCCGGCTGGGTCCCAGCCGCGACTGCCCACGGCTACTTTGTGATGGTCCAATGGCGCTTGTTCGTGAAGAAAACTTGGGAAAAGCCAGGAAATGAGAACAGAACCCTCCCCGTGCGCCCGGAGCCCGTGCCCCGGAAACCTCCATCAGGGAGGGTGTTCCCCATGTGGCGTTGGATGGGAACCCACCTGGGGACCCTGAGAGGAACAGGAGGGACCCCGAGGG